TGATTGAACTATTGACCAGCTGAAACTCTTTTGTTGGGCTTTCTTTGGTATCATATGCAAAGGACCTATCAAAACAAGATATAATGTACCAATCATAGTATTTTCATGAATTTCGTTCCATTTTTCCTTCTTATTTAGGACTAAAATCACTAGAGCGTTTATCTGAAAAATGTTTTCCTCGAACTTATTTTTTATCACACTTCTATTTTTTTATTTTTTTGCATGTGAAACCTACATTTTAACCACTCATTCGAAAAAATATATAATTTTCACTTTAGATAATCTATTCCAAACGAATACTAAAATAAGCCCCTATATGATAGCCTTTAAATTAAAACTCCTTTTTCTACAACATACTCATTTTCAACCATATATTTACACAATAAAAATTATGCACATAAACTAATCGTTTGATTTTTCACAAGTGAAAGAAATCATGAACAAGTAATGAAGTAATGAATAGGGTGTCGAACCATGAGGACTATGTGTTTGATCGAGTTAAAAGTAATTACAACTTTAATCGAATAGAAAACAATTTAATGATTTTACTGATCCCTAAATTATCAATTAAATTAGTGAAAGCTTGTGAGATACATTGCTAAGATGTTGAATCTCCCTCTTTATTTTATTTTTAGTGTAACAATTAAATTGACAATTTAAAATCACTTGTTTTGGTCAATGTTCCTAATTTAATTGAAAGTCTCTCGCAATAGCAATCAAATATATTCCCCATATGACTTTTCTATCTCTGAATGAAAAATACAAACATGAGAAATGTATTAACAAGTATTAGAACACCTATTAAAAACCATATAAAACATAGAGACATATTTCCATCATGTATCGAACCTTACAATGTTCATTATATTGTGCTTAAATCATATTATCTTTCTCAATAACAATAAACTTACTAGAAATTTAATTGGTCATCAAGCAATTAAAAAGAACAATAAAAATGATTATAAACACCATAAATAAAATCAAATTAAAGTTAAAATAATTAATTAAATATTTAAAAATATCATAAAAAGGAAAATATCATAAAAAGGGTTCATCTTATCCTAGTAATGTATACAACTAGCCTAACATATCGAAATTACAAGAAATCATATTTAAGTGAAAAGACATAACTAGGATTTTGATAAATTGAGAAGATGAAGATAAATATTGAAATTTTGAGTCTTTTCGACAGTTTCTTGATGAATCTCCATTTACGCCTTCTCTTCTTTGCCCAAAAATCAAGTTTGAATATTTACTTGATTGAATTTTTGCAAGTCCCAATCAATTCTCTCACAAAAACTATGAGTTTTTTTTATTTAACAATAATTGATAAGTATTGGAGTATATTATGTATATGAGAGGTGTTGAAGAGGTCTTTTAATGTATAATGCTGTTACGTATTTGTAAGAGTAAAAAATTGGTTGAAATCACGTACAAATTGGTTTCCGATGGAATTCAAATCGAATAAGGAAAGTTACCTTTGAGAACGCAAGTTTTTATATTTGCATAGGAGTCAGTATTTTGATCGTAACTTTCTTTTCCAATATTCGAATGAGGTGATTCAAAGTACATTGAAAAAGCTAACTTAAATGGCTATAATTTTGGTAAAAGTTGAAATTTTCTAGTTTGGACGTTTCTATGCCAAAAATGGATCACAATCTTTAACTAAAAATCTGGAAGATATCTTGTGATTGGAAATCGATTTATGATAATATTCTGATCATATTCAATTCCTTTTTGACCTCTAGTTGCATCCAATTGACTCCGAATAATCTTCAAAGTATTTCTCGTGGTCCAGTTCAACAACGATATATTTGTAATTCGATAATCAAACTTTGTACCTCATCATTGTTTGCCCCCTTTTCCTTCTTTCTTTGAGTTAATTGTTCCAATGATCATTGAACTTAGGTTCATGTCTTTGATTGGTCATTGATATTTAAAATGTCTTGTTTTGGTCGCTGAACTTAGATCCATATTTTCAATTGCTCACTGAAATTTAAAATATTGAGTTTTGGCCACTGAATTTTGAAAAATGCTGTACGTTACTCACTAGCATAACTGTTAAATTTTGAAAAATATCGAGTTTACAGTGAATAATGTACAACATTTTTCAAAGTTGAGAGAGTAATGTACAACATTTTTCAAATTATCATAATTTCATGAATTAAAAAAAAAAAACTCGATTTACACATCTTGAAAATGAGCCTCCATATGGCCCCATTAATTTCTATTTCATTACATTTCATTTTTCATTTTCTTATTTTCAACTGCACAATCTATCATAAAATAATATTACACTTAAATTGAAAACTTTTCTTTCTTTTTCAACAATTCATTTTTCAAAAAAATAATATTCTACCAATTTTCGTTTCTACAAAATGGGGGCCAAATCGGGGCAATTATCTATTTCAATCAATTGACACATCCACCATCTGATTATATTATATTACATGTCAAAAAAGAAAGAATTTATAAGTAGTATTGGGACTAGAGACCACACACGAAAATGCCAACCAAATTTGACTATACTAGCCCGCCTACTTTCTTTTACAATTTCCTCGTACCTAAACCCATCTTCAAAAGCTCGAGTATTAAGAAATGTGTTAAGACGCTATGTAGAATTAACTAACCATTTCTTATTCGGGGAATCAATACAGTATTCCCGACTTGTTTTTCTGAACTTCGCAGGTGCTTCTGCTTGTCCCTCAACCTTTGACCAAGAAATAACTAACCATTTCTTATTGGGGGAATCAATACTTCCAAGCTTTGTCAATTCAACCAAACAAAAAGAAATCCTTGTCAAGGTTTTAATCTCTCCTAATCTCCAACGCATGACTTTTTCATGATCATTCTTAATTGGTCGTGTCTTAAAAACATCTTGTGTTCACATCTTTCATTTATTTAATTTTGCTTACTATACACGCCAAGCAATATTGAATAGCATTACAATGTACAATAAATAAATTTTTAACCTATTTGTCTTTTTTAATTACGTCAATTGTTCATGTTATGGCCATACCCTTTTAGATGCAAAAGTGTGTGTGTGTATATATATATTTGGTTACATGGATCTTAATTAATCCTAAATTTAATTCTATCCTGTCCCCAATCATGCCAAACATGTCATAAGGTCATTATTTTGTTAGAATTGTCTCTCTTTTTTTGGGACAAGAGTGTCCAGCCTAATTTATATAAATTAACTAGAATTAGGCCAGCATTGGGATGATGCATTATTTATAAAAATGCAAGGTCATAACTTGCCTAACCTATCTTCTAGCTGCCACGGGGCTCAAATTACACAAAAGAAACTGTGCTTGACAATTTAATAAACATTAATTCTGCGTTAAATTATTGTTAATATCCCAAATAATGCAGTTGATTTGCAGAATTGACGTGAAAGAAGTCTTTGAGATTTTGTAAATCAAACGTAATTTAACGTGGAAAATGTAGCTTAAAAGAAAATTTTGGAGTTGAATGCATCAATAATGAAGAATCGAGCTGCTGTCTTGAGGTGCCCAAATAATTTAAATTAGGATTAAGTTGGAATTCTGAATCCCGTTCACATACAAGAGTACAAAATATTGTTCTAGACTATTACGAAAAGTGATACATGCTCGATTATTAAACAAGCTTATAATGTGTAGTAACAAATTAAGGCCCCGTTTGTTTTGACTAAAAATCAAAATTTTAGTAGATTTTGATTAAAAAAAAATTGAGAATTTTTTTGTTTAAAAATTAGGATCAAACAGTAACTAAAATATACTTAGGAGAAAGGACCCGGCAAGTGAGTAGAAGCTGACTTAGGAGCAGTGGTAGCATTTTTTTAGCATTGTGGTGGAGCTCAACACAGGTTAGAATAACCACTGAGGTTGTCGGGACGAGAAGAATCGTTGTACAAACTGAACTGAAACCAGTTAGCATTCACATTTATTTGTCTCTTCAACTATCACTTTTCAACACAATCGTGTTTCATATGAGCTTTTATTAGCTGGGGAAAACCTCTAGCAGAAGGCATGATCCAAACTTACTTTTTATCCCTATATCTCACTTATTCTAATTACAAGAAAATCCTTCAACTCAACTTCACAAATCTCCCTGATTTAAGAAAATAAGTAATGATGCAATAATATGTTTCTCCGTTGATGTAAATAACTCGGCACTCATTGATATATCTTTACTTTGACGTAATTTTACATGAGGAATTTGTAACGAAATATCCCATTTGTAGTTTGCACACGTAAATGTACGTGTCTCAGGGACGGATCCAAGATTGGATCTAAGACCAGGCTACAAAATTTCAAATCGGACTACTATATGCAGAAAAAAAAATTTTACATATAAAAAACTGATTTTTTACCAAAAAAATTAAAAAATATCTTAAAAAAAAGCACTTGG